GGGCAAGAGAGAGAGATTGGAAAGGAATCTAGGTTAGGTGCCCAGGCTGTTCCCTGCCTGTCTTTGCATGAGGCTGTGCTGGCAGGGGAGAGGTCTAATCCCAAAGCAGCCCTATGGCTTGAGCTGAAGGGCTTTTATGTTGCATGTTGTGGTGCCACCATGTGTGTGTTGCACCCTGATGCAGCTGCTGCCCCTTAAGCAGAAGCAGCTTCACAAGGACACCCAAAAATTTGGTGCTCCAAATTTCCAGGAGCCCAGTGCAATCGCATGTGTTTCAAATGCCTAAACATGGCCCTGGAGCACCTGGACATCCTGATGGTGGTGATGGACATGATCTCTCAACCCTCATTTTCTTAAGTGTTTCACGCCTCACTCATGGAGGCCAAGGTGGCACATCTCTTTCAACCCCTTACAGACATTCTATACCACAACTAATTTTCATACACAGTCATCCTCACGTGTAAGATGGTTTGTAGTGAGCTGAAAACAAATGGAAGAGGGGGAACTGCTGGCTGGCAGAACCAAAGTTTGGAACTGCATTATGCTCGTATTGGCTAAGTAGCTGGCAACCATGCTCTCAAATGAGGATCTTAGCCTTCCTCAACATGCAGGCTAATCCCCTGCTTAAAGTCCCATGAAAGGAAACAATAATGATGAAGAAAGCATAGAAGTTAAGGATTATTGTAGAAATATGTTGGGATTGAAAAACAAATGGACATTATATGAAGGAAAGGGAAACTTTGTTTCTGGCTGGCTTTGAAGCAGGGACTTTTTGCATGTTAGATAAATGGAATAACCATTATACCACAGAAACCAGCTGCCTGTGCATTTTGGGCTCCTTTCTAAAGCTTTCTGTATAGCCAGGGCACCAGCTTCCTTATGGAAATAGGAGAATAGAAGGGCATCTGATAAGTAACAATATTTATGTGGCATCAATCATCAAAAATTTAACTTGTGATTGAAAAAGCCACCCCCAAAGAGCTGCCAAAAATAAACATTCAACAGACAGATATTATCCAGAATGTGAACCTGGGTCATTTCTTCAAAGAGTTTCTGATAGAGAATCTGATGGATGTGAACATCAGAGTGAATGGAGGAGGAGAAGGGTCAGTCTCAAAAAATGAAGTTTACAAGGTTCTTTTGAAAAAGGGTGTTTTCGTGTGAAAAACCCCATCTAGACTTTTTTTTTAAACTCTTCCGAAAAAGAGATTGGAAGAAGATATGCAAATACGTGCCAAATGTGCATATCTTCTTTCAGAAGCCATGGGTAATCTAGACATGTCCATTCTGTCTTCTGAAGGCAGCTGATATAATGTCACTAACTCAGCAGTTCTCAAACGTTTTGGGCTCCGGAGCCCTCTACATGCGTAAAATGTATGCAGAGCCCCAGCGGTCCACTGATTGTATGTGTTATACCTATCGATGTTTCCAGTTTATCAACCTCGCGGAGCCTCTGGAGATGTCTTGTGGAGCCCTGGGGCATCGCGGAGCACAGTTTGAAAAACACTTCACTAACTCAAGTGATCCAGAGAAGCCCATTCCTATGAGCCCAAAGATTCCCATTTAACTCAACTGATTTGAATCAAAATCATATTAACCAGAAATGTATGTTGGCCTGGCCAGTGCATTTAGTGATAATTATTCTCCACTTAGAAGGGTAGGATTTCAGAGATGCTGTATAGGCTACTGAGAACTGTTTACTCAAAACTCTCAATGAACACAACTAACTTTGGTGAGGGCTGTGTGGAAGTTAAATAAGATTTTGCTCAAAATAATCTGTGGCAGAGAACTTGGATCATGGTAATTTTAAGAAAACATGTTTCTTATACTGGTAGAATGCAAATAACTTGTAGTGATACAAATAGATAAATGCTGTCCCTCACAGATCAAGTATAAGAATCCAGATAGAAATAATCTGCAGAATAAAGGTCAAATTATTACAAGCTATTGTTCTTATCCCCTCCAAGACATTCTCCGCACTTCCTTCTTTTAGTTTAATTAATAACTGCCATGTTCATTGGTGCTCTCTACAAGAGAGATCAATTTGAATTAATAAGATGACCACATGGACATTGTGGGAAATAATCTAAATTTTTAAAAATACAGTCTCAGATACTGTTTCTGCCCTGAGTCCCCCTGACCATTTCTGGGAGCTTTTCAATCTCATTTTTGTTTCTATTAAAATGTTTCACTGCTCTGTTGGCTTGTGAAAAGTCCACAACCACAGCCAAGGAAACAGACCAACTGCAGGAGTTTACAAATCAAATGGAAGATTTAGTCATGCACAAAGTACTGCTAAATGCACAAAGTTAAAATACTAGGGACACACATTTTATGTTAAACCCTGGCTAGTCTAGCAATCAGCAGGTATTAATCACAACATGATCTGACTCATGAGGAAGAAGAGCATGCTGCTGTTTCCTCATCTGGGAGAGGGGGAGGGGAAGTGCTTCTTCCTCACAAGCCAGATCATGTAGTGGGACTCGGGGCTTTCTCTACCCCCCCAGCAGGAAGCCAGTGCTGGTGCTCTAACTGTGGGAAGGGGGGCGAGGTGGGAGGACGAGGCTGCAGTGCCCTGAAAGCTGGCTGCAGTGCAGTGGCTCAGGGGGTCGGGGTATACCCCAGCAACAGCAGGTAGAGATGCTGCAAACAGCTGGCGGCAGCTCCGGCAGCCCCTGCGGCCCGGCAGCTCGCAGTCCGCGGACCGGCGGTTGGAAACAGTTGTTATATACTATGGATCCATTTCTGTGTTATACAAGAATCTCTGATAAATTCTTTAATGTAACAACCACATGACTAGAACTGCTCAAAGCTCAGGATTTCCATTCCAGGGGAATTCTGACTTTTAAAAAAAAGTTTTTGCTTAATTTTCAACAGCCCTTGAGTGAGGGGAGTCCTCCACCATGAAGCAAGGAAACTAGAAACTCTGAGAGTCTCATCTCAAACTGAGACACTCAGTTTCAGTATCCCAACTCTGTGGCAGGGAACTTGAAAGCCTTGGGGTTCCTGGATGAAAAGCTGAGTGCATGATCAGGCTGTCAGGAAGCCATGAACCATAGAAGCTCTGAGATCCCTGGTACCAAGGCAGCCAATTTGGCAGGACTTCCCTGTAATTGTGGACCCTGAAAGCCTGAGTTCCCCAGAAGCCTGCTATGTGACCTGGAAGAAAACCAGGCAGGGTTTTGTCAAAATCCAGTCTGTGGTTTGGCAAAAGCTTGTTGAAACCAATATATGTCAATGAGACATTTCAGTTTCAACCAATTGGCACAGTCAGATTTAAAAAAACATTTTGTTGGTATATTCTCAGCAGCTTCCATTCATAACTCTATCCTACCCATGATGTAGGCAGTATTATCCTCATTTTAACAGCTGGGGAACCAAGGCACAGAAAGATTAACTGAACTGTTGAAGGTCACACAAGAAGCTTGTTACAGAGCTGGGAACTGAACCTAGATCTTCTGGGTGCCTTAACTAAAAGATTAATCTTCCTCTCTGCAGCAAGATTTCTCTCTCCCTAGCTCTCATATTTCTTCCTAAATCTCATCTATATTTGCTGTAACAGAGTGTAGTAGTAACTACTGGTGGTAGTTAATGTAGTAGTCTTGTCCCGACCCCTAGCACTCCACCCTGTTCCTCTCTGGGACCATAAGATGGGTAGAACAGGGCAAGCCCCAGAGCACCAATCCCGCTCCCCGCTGGGAGCACTAGGCTGGGCAAATCCCAGCAACTTGATCCTGCAAATCACTGGATGGCCAGAGTGGGGCAAGCCCCTGATACCAAACAAGATCCCACGTCCCGGCCCTGCTTAGAGCTCTGAGAGTGGATGGAGCACGGCAAGCCCCTGCACCTCAATCCTGCTCCCCGCTAGGAGCACCAGATGAGCGGACCAGGACAAGCCTCTGATCCCCCTCCTCCAGAGGAGTGCTCCACGGACAGATCTGGGAAAGCCCCAATGCTGATTGGGGAGTGCAAGGCATACATATTTATGCTCTCCCCGCTGCTGCCAGTATATCTATCCCTCTCTTCCCCATGGCCAGCTGGAGAGGGGGGAAAGGTGGCTCCATCATTGCCCTCCCACCTGAAGTCAGGGCCCTCCCGTTTGACCCATGCTGCTGGCTACACCACTGCTTTGACTGGGTTTACATTAGCAAATTTAGTGCAGTTCCTCAATGCTAGTTCAGGCAGGACTCAGACATGTTTAGCATCTCCTCCTGAAACCCTGCTCTGATCTTCCAGGACACAGAATTGGTCTAGATGCTTGTCTACACTAGAGTTTGTACTGATACTAACAATGAAACAGCTACTCTGGAGCTGACAAATGGGCACAATATTTGCAGATATGGACACAGGCTTTTAGGATTTACTCTGTCACCAAATTAAGAACAAGAGCCATTTGAAAAACTTCCATGAACAATTTTTTAAACGTTGCTATTTTTGACCAGCTTTAAGTATGGCTGAAATATGTCAACAAATTGAAATATCAGCAAAAATAATTTAAAAAATACATTCTGCATTTTTTCACCAAGTTTTATTAAAAGTCTTTTTAATTTTTTCCCTCTAGCATTTTGAGTACAGCTGGGTAAAAGTGGCATATGCCAATCAATCAACTTTTCCCCAATCTTAAAAAGCAGAAAGACTAACACACTTTGCCAGTGTTTGGTGGAATTTTTACACAAATAGTTTAAATATATCCGATAATGGTGTAAGAATTAAGGAGGCAGGATTAGAAACAACTTAAAAGTTAAATCAAGCCAGTACTAGGCATCTGGAGAATATCCTAGAACTGCAGTATCAGTCTTTTTGTTTCTCAGCCTCCACCCTCCCAACATGCCATAAAAAAAACTCCATGGCCCATCTGTGCCACAGCAAAGTTTTTGGCATATCCAGTAGATTAAAAGCTGTATTTAATTGATAGTTATACAAGTTAAACACACATCCAAATACGATTTTTAAAAGGTAAATATTGTTGCAAAAATGAATATAATTTTTGTTTTACTTACACAGTGTGAAATGTATTGTTGGTGCTGATCAACAATTCTGCTGTCAAGACGTGAGGGGTATCTTTGACTAGCACATGCCCGTGTCATGGTCCATTGATGTCTTGGCTGACAGCCACACAGCCCCTCCACCAGTGCAGAGGGGCTTGGTTTCAGCTCCTTCAGTCCTGCAGGGCAGAGCTCAGGTTTAGGCTTCCTGCTCTGGGACCCAAGAAGTCTAACGCTGATCCTGCTGGGCAGACCCACTAAAACTTGCTTGTGCCCTCTCTCAAAGGACTGTGGACCTATTAAGAACCTGGTTCAGACAGTCTCTGTAACAAACAGCTTAACTGTAAGGCTGCAACTTGCTGCAAAAATGCCAAATTCTTAGTTAGCATAAGTTTAACTCTTCACTCTAGAACATTCCCATTTAATGGGCTGAGGCTAAGAAGACAAGCAGCATATGAAGGTAGGAGGAGAGGGATACAGCCCAAATATATATCATTTTTATTTACATTTGGCTTGACGCATAAACTGATCAAGGACATCCGACTGCTTCTCAGTCTGTCCATTATTGGCCAACTACTGACTCCCCACAAAGCAGGACTTTACGTGGGCATGGAGTTAGATTTCACTCTCTTACCCAGGCTATCTGGGGCCCCGTTTTGAAGTATGCAGCAGCTTAACATGGTCTCAGGCCAGTCTTTTTTTCTGCCATTCATCTTCATCATAAAAGGGCGCACGTTGGGAAGTGTTCAATGACATTCTCTATTAGTAAGGAGAAAAACTTCCCCAGGAAGGGGAGCCTGGACCGTGTGATACTTGTACCAGCACCAGGGCAACAAACCACCCTCCTGGATCTAACTGCGGCGAGGGACATAATCCAACTGCCAGGAGAGAGGCCAGGCAGGAAGCGGCAGAGGGATCTCCCAGAGGTGGAGCAGTGACTGAGCCTCCTTTCCCTCGGAGAACGCAACTTCCTCGTCTATGACACCACACGCGGAGAGGAACCCCCCCCCCCCGAGCTGAGTGTGGGGAAGCCCGGGCGAACCGCGCCCGCCAGGTGCTCCGGGCTGGGTCCGAGCGGCGCGCGCGTCGGAAAGTGGCACCCGCCGCACTGTGGGGGAGGGGCAGCGTGCCCAAGTTTCGGCGCGCACGGGGCCAGGCGGGTTGGCGCGCGCGGCATGGAAACGGACCCGTCACCTTCCCCCCCCCCTCTTCCCCCGCCCGCCATACTTTGGCGGGGCGCGTGCCTGGGGCTGGGCAGAGGGGAGCGGGAGAGCGAAGGGCGCGGGGCGCGGCAGCGCGGTGCCAGGTGCCCCGGGGGGGAGGGGCCGGGCCGTTGCTAGGCGGGAGCCGGAGCCGGGCGCAGACACCTGAGCGGCTGCGCGACCTCCTCCCCTCACGCTGGTTTCGAGTTTCTGCCCCGCCCGGAAACTCGCCGGCCGAGCCGCGCTCGCTGCAGCCCGTCGGGCTCCGCCACAGGCCGGACCTGGGCGCCCCCAGGTAAGTCCCAGCTGGGCAGCGACTGCCCTTCCCCCTCCCCCCCGGTTCGAGAGAGGGTCCTAACGGCAACCCAGCCCGAGGCAGGGGGCGAGCTGGGTGCGGGCGGGAGAGAGGAAGCGAAGCTGAGGGGCTTGGCTCCCCTCGGGCCGGGCACCGCCCCTCGCGGTCTGGCTGAAGGCTCCGTGCAGCCTGGACAGGGCAGCTCCGCTCCGGCTGCAGTTCTGCGCTGAGCTGAGGACCGGGTTGGGTAAAATAGGTACAGATCCCCGGCCGGCTAGTGGCGGTTAGAATAACCCCTCCTGCGGGGATAAGGCTGCCTAAAGCCTCATGGCAGTTGACAGACTTGGGTCCTCTGCTTTCCTGATGAGAAGTGAAGTCCCACTGGGCGGGTCTCCTTCATTGACTTCTTCAGAGGGATGAGTCTTTGCGCTTCATCCTTGACGTTTGTAAACACGGTGCAGACGGAGGACTGGGTGCTGTTGAATCACTGAAAACATGTTCCTAATATCAACTCTTCCAGTTTTTAGTGTGATTTTTGTAACGATAACTTTTGAGTCCACATTTTTGCTTTTCAATCGCAACAATGTATTTCTTAGGATTATATGATTTAAAGGCTGACTTTCTGGATTGGTGTCAAAATTTACTTCAGTTTCCTTTGATCTGATAATAAGATGCCCTTCGTGAATTTATTTTGGCTCTTTGGGCAACACTCTACTGCTTTTTCACGTCACCACTTGTGTATATAACTATTCACTAAAGACCGAGTTGAAAGCCCCTAGATGCTTTTGAAAATCCCAGTAGTCACCTAAATACCTTTAAAAATCTGGCCTAAGGATAGTATGCTATCTTCTATAGAATCTTTTGCAAAGGTAAATTTCTACTATAATTTTTACTAAACATAAATACACAGCAATCATAAGAATTAAAAGACAATGTCTTATGCACCCTAAAATCATGAAAATAAATGGTTTCAGATGGTTCTTGCCTTTTTCTTTTTCTGAGTCCTTAGGGTGCACGAGCTACGTGTGTGTACTGTTCCCTCTCACAAAGAATCTGTATACAAGTACACTTCTATAATATTCAATATTGTTTTGGACTTCAAGTAACACCTCCCCTCCCACACACACTAATTGAAACTTTGTTACAGATTCTTGTTTAAGTAATTCTTCATTCTGCAAACATTGAAACACATATTTGATACTTCATTTGTTACATACATCTTTTTTCCTTTTAATTTTATATTCTGTTATAGGCTACATATTTTTATGGTACATTTCAGTGATGATCTTTATTCCAATAAGTTTACTGTTTTGTGTTGCCAAAATCAAAGACATTTTTAAAATGAATTATTCCATCATTCTTTTGTGCTGCTGAGAGAGAGCACAACACTTACCTCACCAACTTGGCTTTTTGGTGAAAGTACAGTGTCCTGTCTTCACTATGTTTTTACAATGGGATAGCAAATGCATGTTAGTTTCTGTTAAAAACACAAATATTCATAGCATTGAGGAGACCGATTGACTCAGATATAAAATGCACCCTTACTGTTCGTGGCTTGACAAACTCTGATAGTGATTGTGCACATAATACTACTCCTGTGCCATTGGAGGTAATTGCACCTGCATATCCATATCCATCAATTTGTATGTCATAGAAAACTAGTTAATGCTTTTAATTTAAAATGCTATAACAGTAACTCCCCCAACCCTGATTTCCCTTATTCCATTTTCTTTACTTAATGAACACATGGACACACTGAAGCTCTGAAGTACACTTGAACCTCTTTAATCCAGCAACCCTGGAAACAGGGTATTAAAGATATTGCAGGGTCAGGAGGTGGGATTGTGGTGCTTACTTGCTTCCTCCCTCTCCACCACTCCCAGGCACTGCTGCCACTATGGGAGTTGTTGGGGGGGAGGAAGTTTCAGGGGAAGCAGCTCTGTGCACTGCTGTTCCCCCAGTTGGAGGGAGGGAGAGGGCAGCATGCAGAGCCTCTGTCTCCTCTATACCATGGGTGATCCCATATTAGGGACACCCAGAGTACAGAGGTTCAAGTGTAATACACATTTAATTACAGCACCTGAAAACTCTGTAGGGACGCTCTTTACTTCAGAACAAATGTCTTTAGTTTTGACAATGACAGGGCATCGATGGAAGATTGAAGGAGTCTTTCTCCAAAACATTATTAATCATCAGATCTTTGGCTTGGTTTGAGCATTTTAAAAGTTTTGTATAGTTCAGCTGCAACTCACATTTCATTTTTTTTTTTAAATCCAAAGGGCTCCACTGATTCCCTCCTTTTCATCTTTTCTCGTGTTAACTCACCTGGCAGGACATTCCTTGGGAGAAATGTTATATCTGCTAGAATAGCCATCGGGGCTGATCAGAGCAAGAGCATGCATGTTTGCTGTCAGTAAATCCATCCCTTACAGAGCATCCTGGCGAGCTGCAGAGAGGCAGGGAAGCGGGAGTCCAGTACGCAGCTCAGCTGGGCTGCAGGGGAGGGGTGGGAAGCCCAGAGGGGCGGCAGGAGAGGAGGTGGGGTCAGAAACAGGGGGGCAAGAAATGACCTTCCCTGATCTGGCAAAATCCCTCAACTGGGACCAGTCAGGAGTTTGTTGAATCATAGCCTAAAACTGAGGTACTTATGTCTGAAGTTTATGTACCTAAGTATCTGTGAATCTAGCCCTAGATCTCTATAAGATGGCCATGCTTGTCTGGATACATTAGATCTTGCTAAGAATATCAGCTCCTCTTTTTCCTCATAACTGCAAGGAGTACTGGAGCCGACTAGGGGCACCCTCAGTGTTTGATTTAGCAGGTCTTTACTAGACCTCTCTGGTGCAGCAAGTGGAAATGCATCCTCAGTTTAGACATATCCTAAGGCAGGAGATGGCAACCTTTGGCTTGTGGGCCACATATGGCCACTTAAGAGCCAAATATGACTCACAGTTCGAGCTCAGCTCCCTTTGCTCACTCCCCGCAATGGAGAGCCCGCACTGGCTCTCCAGCCTCACACCCCGTGCAAAATTGGAGTCAGCGCTGGCTATGTGCTTGGGGTTGGAGCTGGAGAAAGCCCCAAGCCTTACTGCATGATTGGGGAAGAAGCAAAGCCACAAATGGGTCTGTGCATTCCCCCTCCTCCAACTGGGGGAATAGCAGTGCACAAGCACTTTGCCTGAAAGTTTTTCCCTTGCTCCATTGGCCAGAATCCGGTCAATGGAGCAGAGGGGAAGCCATGCCTGGGACAGGGAGCCTGACAGCAGCGCAAAAGCAAGTAAGTGCTGCCTAGACCCTGCACCCCCAGCCTCCCACCCTGTGCTGAGACCCTGTACCCCCAGCCTGCTCCTGCCACCTCCCCCCCGGCCAAACACCCACCCACACCCTGCTCTGCACCTTCCCTCCAGCCAGACACCTACACCCACCCTGCTCCTGCACCCTCCCCCCTAGCCAGACACTTACCCCCAGCTTGCTCCTGTTCTCAGGCCAGATACCGTAGTCCCTGCCTAATCCTGCATGCTACCTCCTACCCGCTGCCGGGAAGCAGGGTTGAGGGCAGCAGGGCTGTCCCGCAGAGATGGGAGGAGGCGGGCAGTCAGCAGAAGCAGGGTTGGGAGCAGAGAGGCTGTCCCGCGAAGATCAGGGCTGGTGGGCTGGCGGTCGGCAGAAGTAGGGTTGGGGGTAGCAGGGCTGTCCGGCAGAAATCTGGGCGGGCGGCTGGTGGAAGCAGAGTTGGAGGCAGCGGGGCTGTCCCAAGAGATAGGAGGGGGTGGGTGGCCGGCGGAAGCAGGGTTGGGGGCAGCGGAGCTGTCTGGCAGAGATTGGGGAGGGCAGGCGGCAGAACCAGGGCTGGTCGGGGAAGATCAGAAGGAGGAGGACGGGAGAACCAGCTGTTGGAAGCAGGGCTGGATGGGGGGAGTCATCGGGGGAGGGCAGTCAGCAGAAGCAGGGTTGGGAGCAGAGAGGCTGTCCCGCGAAGATCAGGGCTGGTGGGCTGGCGGTCGGCAGAAGTAGGGTTGGGGGTAGCAGGGCTGTCCGGCAGAAATCTGGGCGGGCGGCTGGTGGAAGCAGAGTTGGAGGCAGCGGGGAGGGGGTGGGTGGCCGGCGGAAGCAGGGTTGGGGGCAGCGGAGCTGTCTGGCAGAGATTGGGGAGGGCAGGCGGCAGAACCAGGGCTGGTCGGGGAAGATCAGAAGGAGGAGGACGGGAGAACCAGCTGTTGGAAGCAGGGCTGGATGGGGGGAGTCATCGGGGGAGCGGGACTGACCGGAGGAGATTGGTGGGTGGCGGGGGGAACCGGCCACTGGAAGCAGGGTTGGACGGGGGCAGCAGGGCTGGACTGGGGAGATCGGGAGGAGAAAGGGGTGGGGAGCGGGACTGACCCAGGCACATGCAGACCCTGGCAGACGAGTGAGTCTGGCCAGGGATTCCATTTTGCCTCCCCTCCCCGTCCCCCCCACCATACCCTCCCTTGAGTAGTTGCAAACTGCCTGGCAGGTAGACACACTCAGGTAGCGTGAGCACATCTACCTGCCAGGCAGTTCACAGCTAAGGACTGATAAACCTTTCCTGCTCCTGTACCCACACCTTGCTCTATTTTAATAAAACGTACCTAATTAGAAAATACCAAACATTTTATACATCTGGTAATTTCTCAGTATGTTTCCCGGACAAAACCCTGAAATACTGGACACCTGGAAACCCTACCCTTCCTTGCACCCTGTGACGTAGTGGGGGTACTTGCTGGGCTGTGGTGACTTCTACTGTCTGGAGCAAGACCCAGCAGGGAAAACCTCATTATGCAAAGGTGACGCCAAACCTGTTGAACCAGACACCCCCCATGGAGAGGAACAAAGGAGGGTGGAATGCTGCCCTGGCTGGGGGGCAGGGCTGGAAGAGTGGGAGTTAGTTGCTGTCTGGGAGCATGGAGGAGACAGCCTAGGGAAAGGGGCTGGAGCTAAGGGGCCCAGTCTCCTGGAGAGGCAATAAACTTCCTCTATTT